TATTCATTTGATGAGCACACTGTAGATCGGTGGGTTATTTTTGGATATATAACATTCAGCAACAACAGAATTCAGTCAACAGCCTTGCTGACAGTTCTCTCTGCCGAAAAAGCCTTAAAATCGTTCGTTCACCTCCAAGCTCATTTCTTTGTTTCCACCAGTGGGTCCGCAGATGCAGTAGCAAGCCAATTTCTAAGCTGAAAAGTGCACTGAACAAGATGGACGGTAATGATACCTGGCCGCAGTCTCCATGAAATGCCCGCGCCATCCTCAATATGCAAAACGCGGTCGATACTAATCCAGGGAAGTCCGCCAACTTACCATGGAACTTTGAATGGAGACCTCGGTAGATTGATAGAGTCTATAAGGTTATTTACAAATGCTAGATAGCAAAACTGCACAGGTATGTTTTATTTCTACTAACCCTCGACCTACTTGCCGTAGCAAGTATGATGCTTGATTTGGTGTTGCAGATCATCGTTCTTATACTTGCGGCCATCTTTTCGTTGGCAACATGCGGCGGTAAAAAGAAAGCCAAAGGGAAAGCCACACCTTCCGTGATGAGCAAACCAGGAGCACCACCGGGAGCACCAGGAGCACCAGCTGAAAAGAAAGAAGAGAAGAAGGAGGAAGCAAAGAGTAAGCAGGCTGAGCCGGGTTAAATCCGCCGAGCCGGAGAAGAAAGAGGAGAAGAAGGAAGAAGAGAAGAAGGAGGAGAAGAAGGAAGAGAAGAAGGAAGGAGAGAAGAAGGAAGAGAAGAAGGAAGAGAAGAAGGAAGAGGAGAAGAAGGAAAGCTCTAAAGCCGAACCACCTGCTGAGAAGAAAGAAGGCTCAAAAGCTGAAGCACCAAAGGAAGAGAAGAAGGAAGAGGAAAAGAAGGACGAGGGATCTGAGGGCAAAGACAAGAAGGAGTAGTGCGATTATTCCGGCAAACTTGTACGGATATGTACTGATAAAGATCAACACTGCGACACGATTTCTTTCGCGACGCCGTTCGTACTGATCTATGTAAAGTTTGGGACTATTTTCCCTTTACTAGCCAGCATTCGATAATCAGGCCTAGTTCCTCGGACCAGACTTTTTCTTCCGTGAGGCAGAATTTGGGTAACTTGTCTTCGCGTAGGGAGTTCGACGCTGTAACAACGAAAGGCAAATCGGGCTTGACCCGAACACTCGGCACCCGCGCCACGGGCGCGGCGTTTCAATACTCGAAATCTGAAATTTCGGCTGAAAAATTGCTCAGGGGTACGTTTTTTGATCCTGCTGAATCACGAACTATCACACTCCGCTCAACCCCGCAGGTATAACCTTAGGCTGAGCAGTACACGGGGCGACGCGGCGCCAATTATATCCCCATTCGCTGAGGGTGGCGCCGTTTGGGGTGGTCGCGATTGCGTGGTTTGTTGCGGTGGCCATGGAAGACGTGGGGCTGTAGCGATATGTGATATGGGAATTCGAGTCAAACTAGCACCTAGTGGTACTTTTACGGAGGCTAAAAACTGATTTAAGGCAAGATACCATGGAGGAACAAGCGGGTCAGGAACGGCTTGATTTTGGGTGATTGAGTGCGGCAGTAAGAGGTAAAGCATAGTGCACTCTGTTTAAGCTCGTGTTAATGGTTGCGGTGAAGGTGGGTTTTGATTGGTGAGCTTTGTGAAGCATAAGCCAAGGCTAATAGCATACGGTCGAATTCGAGTCGTGGGTTGGATGTTTCAGTTGTAAGGTCGACGTTCGACGACTTCATTGTATGTGATTCTGCTATGTCGGTCTTCAGGCGCGGGCCTCCGCATCCACAAGCCTCCGACCCGTTTATACATCTGCATGGCATTACAAATTTTACCTGTGTAGCTTCTTAAGCTGCTTGTGAATTCAGGGTGCAGTGCGCATTATTATATTTGTAAATATATAACTTATGGAGCCAATAATTAGGTGTTCTCCAGTTAATTAGATGTGTCAATAGTTCAGAGTTTCTTGGGAAGTTTTCGCAGCGAAAACGCCGGTTATTAAACATCAGACTGAGGGGGGCGTGACAAGTAAGCATTTGGCTAGATCCAAGAGCAAGAGTTTTGAAGATTTGTTTAGAGTTGAGTCTGTCAGATTTGGGGACGATCAGGTTGACGGCTCGCTCGCTTTCGCTAATACTCTCACCCCTTTTCCGCTAATATTCTCACGAAAACATAGGTAATATTCAACGTTTTCTGAAAATCTTCCAAGTTCATACCGCAGCAAAAATGTAGATCAACCCGGAAGATTTTTTCCATGACTCGTAGGAATTGACGTAGGCTGTGGCTATGGTCCGTTCAACATTCATCAGCACTTGTAATACAAGCATGCACAACAAAGTGTATAGCTCAATAATTTTGTAGTAAATGTAGAAAGTTCTTTTAGGAATTAAGTCGCATGGATTACGATGCGTCAGCCACAGTACTGCTTGATATATCTGCAAAAAACATTACAGAAAGTTCAAGCATAGTGTATGGTGAAACATTAAGATTATGCTGATGCTGAATTGTGAGAGCTGGCATTAACGACAAATTGTACACTCACCTCCGAAAATTTTGGTCCTTCAATTCCATGGGTATTTGGGCCACTAGCGCGCCACTCTCACTGGTCAAAAGTTTACGGGAAGAGGATGAGAGGGCAGTAACACCCGAATGTCGTCTCCATACTCCTTCCGCGCCGTCAGCTCCACCTAACTGTAGCCAAAAGGGCTACCAGTCTCGCCCTCTCTTTCTGGTTATTCTCTACCGCTGAGTACGTGTTTCGCTGAGTGGACTAAGCATCGACGCAACTGCTGCACTTTGAGAAGAGCGCGCGCGGAGTATGGATAAGAAACTCGGGTTTCGCTACATTTATACACCTAGGGCAAATCACTAGTCGGGGATTTTGGTCGACTCCATCCCTCCCCTGAAAGGTCGCTTCATACGACCCCTCACTGTCATAGATTTTCCCCAACGTCGTGCCACTTTTTCCAGTTTATCCGTAATTTCCTTAGTCAAGTCTCATGAATCAACAAACGTGGAATGTTCTTCTCAACGCTGCAAATTTCTCTCGAGAGGACCTCCTCCCTTTCCAGCGCACGTGAAATACGAAAAATCAACTATCAAAAAAGAATAAAAAGAGACCCCCCTTTATCTCCAACGACCAAATATCCTGCTGCAGGATCCCCAACGATGATGCATACACCCCTTGTCGCGTACAGTTAGGCGGAGAAAGTGGCACGCTACTGCAGCTGTGGAACTATTGGCCTCGCACACACACCTGAAGGTGAGTGTACAGCTTGTCTTTAAGCATACGAACCCCGACATTCCAGAAGGTTACTAACTAAGAACTGAAATTCTACAAGTTCGAAATGTTATCTAGGTGAAATATCTGATAAACACTTACCAGTGTGGTGAGTACTGAAATAGCATATATCATGTTCACGATAAAAAGGAGACCAATAAGTCTCTAAAATCTATTGATATAGTACATCAGAACATTACTATTATTTGGGCATTATATCTATTAAGGGAGGGGGTATCCTTGTGAATTCGTGGACAACGAAGCGAACAATGTGACAGGCTGCGGAATGATTATAGTTTCAATATCAACGGGGTATTTCCTTTTACGTCAAAATGGTCCCTAGTTTGGTCAGTATTAGACTGGTATTATTACAGCTCATAGCTATTAATTGTATTAAGTTATAACAACAAACATATTGCTGCGCTCATGCTTTGCGGCTGCACCCTCCTTGTGAAATTCCTTCATTTTCACCTCAGCAAGTGCTCGGCCCGGGCTGGTAGTAAATCTGTCAAGTGGTCACGGGGGCCAACGATTGTGAGAATAGTACACGATGCAGAGGAGCGAGTTCAAAAAAGCCTGTGTGCTAATAGAAAGAAATCAACAGAAGGAGCATCATTGTACTACTGTAAGGTCACAATTTGCTTCTTATCTATATTGACTATCAGATCCTAAAGTCAGAGAGGAAATTTGAAGTTCAGTACCTATTGAGTCCTTCCACCCGAAATAGCAAGTATTACCTTCAAATTGTTGTGAAGAGCTGAGGACGAAAGGAACTTGTAGTAGACCACTGGGTGAGCGATTAGAGCGATAACACAGGAAATGACTTCAAATAGTTGAAAGCTCCGGTAGATAGGATGCGAAACCAAGTATCTGGTTAGCTGAAATCACTTCTTTCAATCATCATGCAAAATAATTTCCACTCTGAAATGTCTGCCCGTTTTGAATCGCGATAAACGGGAGCTTCGCTCAATGAGCAATCAAATCGTAATAATGACTGGAGGGCCACTGTCGCAGATTACTCAACG